ATAAGCTTGACAGTGTAATGTGGATCAACAAACATGGGGCAGAGGTGTATGTCCCTCAGGTTCAGGTACACTCAGAAGAAACAGTTGTCACTGTCTATATAGTCCACTCGTCAATGGAAATCTCCATTCTGATGGGTATTAGGGGTAACGTTGTTGTGATGCCCTAAAAGGCATAGTTCATCTTTACCAAAAATAAACCGGTGTCTGTAGATAAAAACAAACAAATTGTGCAACTTTGACCAAAGTTGAAGAATGCCCTTGCTATAGATGTAGGCCATCTACAGATCTCATGAAGCCCGGCTGAAAAAACGTCCACAGATCACATTTCCCCTTCCAGCCTTGTTTCTAGGATATTGATAAGACATGCCCAGCTGCCACTGTTCACCTCCACCATATCCCCTGATGCAATAGCTCTGAGCTCAGTGTTGGAGAGCTCACTCTTGTGACGGTAGAGGTGAACAGTAACAGCTGGATGTGTCTTAGCAATGTCCTAGCAACAAGGCAGGATGGGAAGATGCAATCTCTGGGAGTTTTTTAGTGAAGCTTCATGAGGTACGTAAACTGTCTAAACCTATAGCAAGGGAATGATTCAAACTTGGTTAAAGCTGCGCATTTGTTTTCTTTTTTTTTTTTTTAACAGACGGCCTTTACCTGCATAGGAAATTTTGTGGTAATGGTGAACTAAGCTTTTTCAAAAAGGTGCTACATTAATAGTAATAAAAGTTTGACAGAAGATTTAATCCTTTCACACCCTATCCAGAAACATAAAAAAAGTATGGCTTGAGTAGGGTTCACAAAAGAACCAGATTGGGCTAATGCAATGTTCACAACGTTGAATAACGATTTCATACGCTTACTCATTAAATCTTGAGAGGTGTGTCATCATTACTCTATTATTAGGCCTCCTTCATACAAGATGTTTTAATCCAAGCTGTGGCTGTGTTTAGGGTCGGGTAACCCCACCTGCACAGATGTCACAATGGCATCATTGGCTGTGTCCGTGAAGCCACTGTGTCCTAACAAACAGCACTGGGCCTGCCGACATGGGGATCCACGCAACACCTGTACATCCCTGTGCCGGTAGAACTCTGCCCTGCATGGATCTAAACACCCCATTGTGAATTGAACCTGTTCTAGAGCGTATCGGGAGAGCTAACTTTGCCCACAGAAGGGCTTTAAAGCGTCCATGTGTTCCCTGCAGCAGAAAACAGACTATATTAGTCTATTTGGCAGACCACTTCTATTACCTCTCCTCTTTTAGGAGTGTCAGATGCCATGTACCTACATAGGGGGGTTGGAGGAAAAAAACTAGCGTAAGGTGGAGACATAGGTATTCGACACGCCAAGTCAATGCTGAAGAGGCTTTAGAAGGCTGCAGCACTGGAATGAAAGAAGAGAAGCAGGCGGCCAGAGAGACAAATAGACTGCCTTCTACTGCAGGGGAGTACTGTCTTTAAATCTTTAGATGCCCTCTATAGGAGGGTCAGCAAAATGTGATCCTATCCTAGAAAAGGATTTCTGAAATAAAATGGATTGCTGAAGACAATAAAGCATATATACATATACTGATATTAAAGCAATAAAGCAAAAAAGTGCCCTGTAAATACCATTTAAAACCTCCAAAATCTTGATTGGCGCATTTAGAGGTGCACGATATGCAACCTTTTGTTAACATACAGTGTTGAACGATAATAGCAGATAGACAGCATAGTTACTTTTAAAAAAAAAGGAAACACTTCACAGAGAAACTTCAATAGTTTGCATAAGCGTAACATAAAATTTTAAATGCCATTTACCCACGACTCCTGCTTATAGTATAAGATTGGACAGAAAAAAAATGAGATTTGAATTACACTTTAAATGTCACTGAACCATTCCTCTGAAAACATTTATGTATCCTGCCATTTCCTTGTAATCTGCTCAACCAAATGACGTTTGTATGTGATATTTCACTGTATGTCATTGAAGCAGTTGATGTCCAAATTAATTTTCACTTAAAACAAACTTATATTAAAACGCATGCATTTGTTTTTTGATGAAAGATCAAATTGTACAAATACACAAAGCTCACAGAAGCTGAAAATGGGAAATTAATTGTTTATTAAATCCCTGCAAAAAAGGTGTATGTTGTGTGAAAGACAGGTGAGTGGGTGTCAAATGATGAATAGGCTAGGCAGTGATTGCATTTGAGGAGTGTGAAGGAGCAGGACTTTACATTCATGCGCCTAGCTTTGTCTTACAGTCCAAAGACCTCACAGCTAAAAGTAATCCCTTCTATCTGACAATCTGCAGCTAACAGATTCAGACGTCTTCCTCAGGCAGAACAAATTCTGAAATCGTGTTTATTCATCTAAGCCCAAGCAGTGAGAGGGCAGAAGCGGAGGATGGCAGGTACTTATTCTACTATATCAATCCACTAAGTACTTGAGACAGCCAGAACCCATGGCAAAAACAGAGCACAAAGAAACACACACACACACACACACACACACACACACACACAATGGATATTATAAGCACGTGTACAAACAAAATAAAAAAACACAAAATGTACCGTCTAGAGAAAAAAAAAACTGAAAGAAAAAAAAAATCACTATCCTGATAAAAACATTAAACTGCTACACAGGCTTTACTCTGTCAGTGCCGGTTCACTTATATGCGGATTGGATGTGGTTTGAACTGCATCCAACCTGCATTACATGTGGAATAACATTGCTTCCTATGGTGCCTGTTCACTTATGTCCAGTGCACTGGCAGTGCGGATTGAATAAGAGTCCTGACCGATTTCTGAGTAGTGAAGTCAGGTTCAGGTACGGATTACAGGCCATTGACTTCTATGGGAATTACTTCTGAATGTCATCAGTTGTGAACAGGATTTCAGTTCAAGTTCAGGTTTCAGCACAGTATTCTCCCCCCCCCCCCCCCCCCTCCACGTCAGCAAAACAAAAAAAAAAATCCTTGCAAGACTGCATCCAAACCAGCCCTGAACCTGTGAACAGTAAAATCTACAGCTGTGTCACAACAACTGGTCCTGAACCCTGGAGCAAATCTGCACTGAAACCAGACCTTGAAATCTGGAACATATGTGAATCAGCACTCAAGGTACCCACCTTACTAAAAACGTTACTCCCCTCCCCCCCCCAGCTAATCTAATATATAAAAACAAATAACTAAATGGTCCAAATACGTACCTAAATCTGCTGTCATGTGGTGCACCAGGTCTGGTTTCTTTTTTCATCTGGACTGCAGAGTGAGAGGTTTCTTTTTTGGAAGTCCACTTCGCTGCCTTGCGACAAACACTTCCCACTGGGACTATCATTGGGGTCCTCATAGGGTCCTAAATGCTCCAGAAACCAAAGACGTTGTAGTTGCAGGACACAAACTACCACATATTTTTTTATTAATCCCATTTCGGGAGAAGAAAGTGATATCCGTCCACGGATTTCTTCTCCGGAAATGAGATTAATACAAAATATGTGGTTATACATATGAGCTAAAATGCATGGGTGGTTATTACCTACTTTGGTAGTTTGCGTCATGCAACTACAACTGGTTTCTAAATTTAGTTAGGTTAACACCCACGCCATCTAATTCAGGTGCTCAAACTTTGAGCTCAACCTTAGGCTACCTCGCCTATATTTTTGTGGTAAATCTTACATTTTTGATTGTCCTAAATATTCAAGCAGCGGCATAAATAACATCATGATAGGACATGGGAACAAGAACCACCAGCAGCAGAACAGACTGCGGTGGCAGATCTTTAGTCTTCACTACCAAAAGAGGGGCTGCAGAGGTTCACATGATGGAAGACTTAAGCCAGTCACAGTTGTTTCGAGATTCAAACCATGTATGGGCAGGCTGAATGTGTCCAAGTTGATCAATCGATCAACCAGCTTGTCGGATTTTACATGTTATTGTTAATGGCTATTATAGCCGCTAGCAGTAATCACTGTGTTCTCCCGGCAAAGACAGCTTCCCGTGAACCCCCTTCCCCTGCTTGGAGAACACAATGGCTTTGCGGGAGGGATTCCCCCATCAACACTGACTGTGCGATGGGGGAATCAAGTGATTTTCTTTATTGCAACCACAGAGCAATTTGCTCCATCTATGGTTGGCTTTAAGTAAGTAAAAGATTTTTTTTTTTTTTTTTTAAAAAGGGTTATGAACGGGTGGGGCAACATTTGCCCTAGGATGGGCTTTAACAGTTACCCATTTACTATAATTTACAGGCACTGAAATTCTCTAAAAAAGTCATAAAATTCAAATGTTTCCTGCTTGTGGGTGATTGGCTTACTGCTTTTCTAAGAAGCCCACATTGAGATCAAAATTAAGCTTCAGGCATCCCCTGCAATAAAAAAACTTCACTAAGTAGTTATAATGAAGGCAGATCCTTCTGTTCAGAAAACAGTTTGAGAAGCAGAATGGTGAAACAAATACATTAAACACCAGAGGAAATTATAACACTGAAAAAAAAATTGCTAAAATCCTTGTAGTATGTACGTATAGTCTACCAAGAGGGGAGTAATTTTTTTTTTTTTTTTTTTTTTTTTTAATAAAAAAGAAGCAAAACTAGACCTGCAAATTGAAAATACATCCTTTTACCCAGGAGATCTGCTTTTCCTCTAGGGGTTTTTGTATAGTGGTGCCCAACTTAAAAGGGCAACATTTAAATAACTTAAAGGGTTCAAGGCAACAATCCCAAAATGCTGAAGTCTTCTGAAATGCACTAATAAATATTTTCTACACTTTTGTCTGAAAAGAAGGGCTTTAAAGTTGTATAGATTAAAATGTGCTAAAGTGGCTGGACTTTGACTGCAAAAAGTAATTTAGAATTTAATTATGCTCTTCAGTGAGAGTCATTAGTCGCTGGTGAAATAAATGGTAGAAGGCAAACACAGAATTCAATTATTCCACACAAGCAACCAAAGGGAAAATCAGGACACCCAAAATTTTGCAACAATGTAATCAATAAATGCACAAAATAAAGCTATTCTTCTGACCTTGTTTTTTGTAATGGCATCGGAAGCACCCAACAGAGACTGAATGCACGCTGACAGAGCCTCCTGAGACAGACCTTGGAAGACTGCTCTCTAGAAAAACAAAAATACTTTAGTAGACATAATATATAAATAATACACAAGTAATTCTTCTTATGAATAAGATCTGATAATACAATGTCTACATTGAAGTTGAAATTAGTCATTTTAGTGTTTTATAAAACTTAACGAAAAAAGGTCTCTGAGGTCTCTTATACTTCTTATTGATTGAAATGTATATGTTAGTCCTCATGCACACTGGACGTTAGGGTAACGCTGGTAACATTAGCTGTGTAAAGTCACGTTAAAAACCTGAGTTTTTCAGCTTTTTTGCATTAGCATTTACTGGAACTTTGCTGTGCTCTTTTTTTTTTTTACCAAAGAAAAAATATTTTTTTTGGTCAAAAAAAAAATCCAAAAACCGCCAGTTTGCGGCGTTTTACTACGTTAGAGCGTTTTTACAGCTAAAAAACTCCTCTAGAAACCCACTAGCCCTGGGTTTTTTTTTTCCAGCCAAAAAACATTGATTACAGTCTATGTGTGCATGGACACATAGGACAACATGCTGGGGGGTTTACTAGCTGTAGAAAACAACGTCAAAAGCAAAAAACAGCCGCTGTAAAAACATCCAGATTCATGGGACCATATTACAAGACTTTTATTGATCGATAGTCCACGATTCATGGGCGTTGCAACACGCTCTCTTCTTTGGAGCATTAATAACACAGGTCTGCAAAAAAAATTTTTCTCAAGGGCTGTTTTGGTTATTCCACATAATCTTTATTTTTTTTGGTGCGCTGAATCCGAAAATGACCTCCATTTTGTCATAGGACATCACGTTTCCTGACAATTTAGGTAACTATGTTAAATAAGGCAATACCTCAAAATAAATGGAAATAGACTTATAAAATTAAAGTTTTATTACAATTTTTTCATGAAAATCCTTTTTTGAACTGAATTAAGCTCACCTACACACACTAAACTCGATTCTTCTTCCCTGTGAGGCTCCTCTTGGTGTATTTACACTTGTGAGTATCATCTGGAATGTCTCTGTGAAGCATCCAACAGTAGTCTGCCATCATTGTAATGCTCCATTTTCCCTGGTATCTCCTTTCCTTTCCATCTCTTTAATGTCTTGGTGGAATCGTTCACCTTGTTCTTCACTCACAGCTCCCAAATTTTCAGGAAAGTAGTCAAGGTGGGATTGGAGGAAATGCACTTTCAAACTCATCAGGCAACCTAAAGCTTGAAATGCTTTCAGCATTCGTCCGACGATCTTTTTGTAGTGAGGATCTTTGTTATTGCCTAAAAATTTCTGTACGACTTCTTTAAATGCAATCCACCCTTCTTTTTGAGGATCCGTCATGGTATTGACAAACTCTTGATCAACTATAAGCCTTCTAATGTCTGGTCCGACGAACACACCTTCCTTCAAATTTTGCCTCCGACAGGCCTGGACTGGTGACCAAGTATTTGAAGCATTCCCCATCTCTTGGAAGTGATTTTACGAATAGCTTCATCAATCCCAATTTTATGTGGAGAGGTGGTAGAAGAACTTTATGGAAAGGTACCAAAGTTTCTCGAAGGACATTTTTTTCACCGACTGTTAGCACCCTCGGCTGCCAACTCTTCTTGGTCCAGTGATTTTGCTGGTCTCGACTGTCCCATAAACACAGAAAACAAGGGTATTTGGTATCCCACCCACTGGATTCTTCAGGAAAGATTAACCCCTTCTACCATTAGAAGCACAGACTCAGGGCTGAGGCTTACACATACAGCATGCTGCTGAGTATCCCAGTAGTCAGACATGTCACTCAGAGCAGCACTTGTATTCACCCCCTTTGCAGGGGGGGAGGGGCAGAGATTGTTTACCTGCAAATAACAACAAAGGGCCAGAAGAGAACTAGGGAAATGAGGAAAAATATTTTTTTTTCCCTAAAACTTGCTTAGCTTATGTATATATTGCTGACCATCAGATTTACAGTGCTATATCTTTTTTTACATAACTCGGGCAACCCCTTTAAGGTTTTTTTTTGGCGTTTTATATCTTAAATGCACTTATGTGAATTAATAGTAATTTGGACTTTAAATTTGGTTAAAAACCCATATAAAAAAAAAATACCAAAAATTAAGAAAATTTGATAACTCTGAAGACAATTTTGCATTTTGTGGCAAATCATGACGTCTAGGAGTTTTTTCAATATTTTATTTGTTTTCAGCACACCAAAATACATGGAAATTAGATGAAAATAATCAAACAGCTTTTTAGTCGCAGACCTGTGTAATTCATCACTAGTGGTTTTGTAATTGCAGCTCGCCTGTGAATGTTTTGCTTATGGATTTCCCTACGAACAGTTTTTGTGGACATGGACTTTGGAAGACTGAGATTGAGCTCTGCAGTCACTTTTGCAGCAATTGTTTTCTTATTCCGGGTCACAATCCTACGGAATGTCCTTGTCTCTTTCAGGTCAGTTGACCATGCTTATCAGACAACATTTTCCCGGAAACTGTATGTGCCATCATAACCTTTGATACTGCATTTTGCAACACCGCAAATAAACTGGCAGCTTCAGTCACAGAGGCACCAGCTAAGTGGGCACCAACAATTTGCCCTCTTTGAAGATCAGAAAGCTCTGACACGATTCCGCATTTCTAGCAGCACTTGATGAAAGTGAGGCTTCCCACCTGTTAGCTAGGTGTCTCACCACATAGTGGCAGCTTACAGCGCGAAACATGTCAGCACTTTCACACCTGCAAATCATGTAGAGTTTCCATATTTTTGTCCAACCCATATATAACTAACACACACACCATAGGAACTGCTAGAGGGATAAAACCACATTAACATACATACACCTGTACTACAATTGATTTGATCCAAAATTCCCTGTTGTAAGTACAAAGTTTGCTACAAGTGTGATAAGGGGTTAACAGAGTATTAACATGACAAATACCATATCAAAATATAATTCAAAACCAGCCAGTCAACTCATCCCAAAATCAGTTTTTTCATCACTTCTCTTTACCTGATCTTACCCGCAGTCTACCCACAGCATGAAGTCAAAAGCAAAGCATACATGGTAACAAAAAGGGTTTAACTGGTATTTACATTCAACTTACATCAATACATCGATACAACTTGGACAGACACACCAGCGTCCTCCTTACGGTAGGATACCACATGCCATGCAGGTCAGCAGGTGAAATTGTACTCTGTGTTCGTGAGCCCAACGATTCTGAAGTACCTAAAATGAAGATTAGAAATTTACTGGTAGGTGCATTATTCCAGGACACAAACAATCGTCTGACGGCTTTATTTCACATCAGGACTGCTTTTCTCCCTATACAAGTCAATAGGCATGCAAAGTAGCTTGAAGCAGGTCAAACCTAGATAAAGTGCACCTTTTAAGGATGTCCAAAAAGAAGCATTTCATACGCAACCTGAAAGAAAACTGCAATTACAATTGACACAACATGGGGTTAGCCTGTTCAATATACAGTGAGGAACAGAAGTATTTGAACACCCTGCGATTTTGCAAGTTCTCCCACTTAGAAATCATGGAGGGGTCTGAAATTCACATTGTAGGTACATTCCCACTCTGAGAGACAGAATTTAAAAAAAAAAAATTCAGGAAATCACATTGTATGATTTTTAAAGAATTTGTCTTGCACTGCTGAACATAAGTATTTGAACACCTAAGAAACAGCAAGAATTCTGGCTCTCAAAGACCTGTTACTGTGCCTTTAAAAAGTCCACCTCTACTCCACTCATTGATCTAACTTAGTAGCACTTGTCTGAGCTCTTTAAAAGGCACCTGTCCACCCCACAGTCAGTCAGACACCAACTATTACCATGGGCAAGACCAAAGAGCTGTCAAAAGACACCAGAGACAAAATTGTGGACTTCCACAAGGCTGGAAAGGGCTACGGGGCAATTGCCAAGCAGCTTGGTGGAAATAGATCAACTGTTGGAGCAATTGTTAGAAAATAGAAGAGGCTAAAGATGACTGTCAGTCTCCCTCGGACTGGGGCTCCATGCAAGATCTCACCTCGTGGGGTATCAATGATAAGAAAGGTGAGGAATCAGCCCAGAACTACAAGGGAGGAGCTGGTCAATGACATGAAGAGAGCTGGGACCACAGTTTCAAAGGTCGCTGTCGGTAGAACACTACGCCGTCATGGTTTCAAATCATGCATTGCACGGAAGGTTCCCCTGCTCAAGTCATCACATGTCCAGGCCCGTCTGAAGTTTGCCAATGACCATCTGGATGATCCAGAGGAGGCATGGGAGAAAGTCATGTGGTCAGATGAGACCAAAGTAGAACTTTTTTGTCTAAACGTCACTAGTTGTGTTTGGAGGTAAAAGGATGGGTTGCATCCCAAGAACACCATCTCTACTGTGAAGCATGGGGGTGGTAACATCATGCTTTGGGAGATGATTTTCTACGAAGGGGACAGGACGACTGCACTGTATTAAGGAGAGGATGAATGGGGCCATTTATTGTGAGATTTTGAGCAACAACCTGCTTCCCTCAGTCAGAGCATTGAAGATGGGTCGTGGCTGGGTCTTCCAACATGACAACGACCCGAAGCACACAGCCAGGATAACCAAGGAGTGGCTCCATAAGAAGCATATCAAGGTTCTGGAGTGGCCTAGCCAGTATCCAGACCTAAATCCAATAGAACATCTTTGGAGGGAGCTGAAACTCCATTTTGCTCAGCGACAGCCCTGAAACCTGACAGATCTAGAGGAGATCAGTGTGGAGGAGTGGGTCAAAATCCCTGTTGCAGTGTGTGCAAACCTGGTCAAGAACTACAGGAAACGTTTGATCTCTGTAATTGCAAACAAAGGCTTCTGTACCAAATATTAACACTGATTTTCTCAGGTGTTCAAATACTTATGTTCAGCAGTGCAAACAAATACATTCTTTAAAAATCATACAATGGGATTTCCTGAATTTTTTTTTTAATTCTGTCTCTCAGAGTGGGAATGCACCTACAATGTGAATTTCAGACCCCTCCATGATTTCTAAGTGGGAGAACTTGCAAAATCGCAGGGTGTTCAAATACTTCTGTTCCTCACTGTACAGTAAACAAGCTATTAAGTATTAGGTTCCCATGTTTTCAAAAAATATTTCCTATCAATACCAGAATAAAGAGAGCTTAAAGCAGTATTAAACTGAAAACAAAAAATGTTGTCGATTACAAAACATTAGCTGTGGTGACTGCATTGGTTTTCTCATTTCCCTCTGTTTTCACCTGGTGATCTGACCATTAACACACCTCCTGTATAAGGCTAGGTTCACACCTAAGCATTTTGCAGTGCATTTTGCATTATGCAGAAATACACTACATTACGTTCATTTAATATGATTTCCTATGGGTAAAGTTCACATCTTTCAATCGATGAGATTTTTAGAAAGGCTCGGGGACTTTTTTAAATGCAAAATGGTGTGTTTTGGTTCAATAGACTTCAATGGAGATGCTACAGAAAGGCATGTACAGTTGCAAGAAAAAGTATGTGAACCCCTTGGGATTACGTGGAGTTTTGCATGAATTGGGCATAAAATGTGCTCTGAACGTCATCTAAGTCACAACAATAGAGGAACACAATCTGCTGAACATAATACTACACAAACATTATATGTTGCCATGGTTTAATTGCACATAACATGTAAACATTCACAGTGCAGGGAGGAAAAAGTATGTGAACCTTTGGACTTAATAACTGGTTGACCCTCCTTTGGCAGCAATAACCTCAACCAAACGTTTCCTGTAGTTGCAGATCAGACCTGCACAACGATCTGGAGTCATTTTGGACCACTCCTCTTCACAAAACTGTTTCAGTGTAGCAATATTCTTGGGATGTCTGGTGTGAATCGCTCTCTTAAGGTCATGCCACAGCATTTCAATCGGGTTGAGGTCAGGACTCTGACTGGGCCACTCCAGAAGGCGTATTCTGTGCTGTTGCAGCCATTGTTTTGTTGAATTACTTGTATGCTTTGGGTCATTGTCCTGTTGCATCACCCATCCTCTGCGGAGCTTCAGTTGGCGGACAGATGGCCGTACGCTTTCCTGCAAAATGTCTTGATAAACTCTGGAATTCATTTTCCCCTCAATGACAACAATCCGTCCAGACCCTGAGGCAGCAAAGCAGCCCCAAACCATGATGCTCCCTCCGCCATGTTTTACAGTGGGGATGAGGTTTTGATGTTGGTGTGCTGGGCCTTTTTTTCTCCACACATAGTGTTGTGTGTTCTTCCCAAACAACTCAATCTTGGTTTCATCTGTCCACAGTATATTTTGCCAGTAGTGCTGTGGAACATCCAGGTCCTCTTTTGCAAACTTCAAACGTGCTGCAATCTTCTTTTTGGACAGCAATGGCTTCCTCCGTGGTGTCCTCCCATGTACTCCATTCTTGTTTAATGTTTTCCTTATTGTAGATGTGTCAACAAAAATGTTAGCATGTGCCAGAGATTTCTGTAGGTCTTTAGCTGACACTCTGGGATTCTTCTTTACCTCATGCAGCATTCTGCGCTGTGCTCTTGCAGTCATTTTTACAGGACGACCACGCCTAGGGAGAGTAGCAACAGTGCTAAACTTTCTCCATTTGTAGACCGTCTGTCTTACCATGGACACATGAACATCAAAGCTCAAGGAGATACTTTTGTAACCCTTTCCAGCTTCATGCAAGTCAACAATTCTTGATCGTAGGTCTTCTGAGAGCTCTTTTCTGCGAGGCATGGTTCACATCAGACAGTGCTTCTTGAAACCAGTAAACCCAAAACAGGTGTGTGTTTTTTAAGGGCAGGACAGCTGTCAGCAACACATCCAATATCATCACACTGATTGGAGTCAAGGTTGGCTCACTCCTGGCTCCAATTAGCTCTGGGAGAAGTCATTAAGCTAGGGCCTCACATACTTTTTCCTCCCTGCACTGTGAATGTTTACATGTTATGTGCAATTAAACCATGGCAACATCTAATGTTTGTGTAGTATTATGTTCAGCAGACTGTGTTCTTCTATTGTTGTGACTTAGATGACATTCAGAGCACATTTTATGCCCAATTCACGCAAAACTCCACGTAATCCCAAGGGGTTCACATACTTTTTCTTGCAACTGTAGTGCGTTTTTGACACGGGTGTAATCTGCCCAGCAACAAGTTGGCCTAATAAAAAAAAAAACCCCATAGGAAAAAAAAAATGCAAAACGCGTGTGCAAAAATGCACCACAAAAACCACTGCAGAAACAAATCAAACGCAAACTACATAGGTGTGAGCCTAGCCTTAGAGTGATCCACTCTGGATGAAGGGGAGTGTTAGATGTACTAACAGATTTAAATACACTAATATATTGAAGCCAAACTGCAGTTAACACTGCAATTAAACAAGCAGTTACCACAACAGGTTTTTTTTCCTTTTAAAATACCGCTTTAACATAAATAAAACTGACCATTGTAAACACCTCTGTCAGTGATGAATAGTTTGTCTCAACACTCTAAACTGCTACTTACTGGCTGGATCACCAGATGAAATTAAAAGGGAAGAGACTAGAAAATAAAACTAATGCAGCCATCACATCTAAGAATAGGTAAGCTGTCATATAATAAAATGTTTGCTTCTGGGTTTAATACTGCTTTAACTGTAAATCAAGCTTGAAGTGGAACTGTGATCTTCAAAAAGTGCTGCAATTAATGCTTTCTTTTAGTCCCACAAATACCTTTAGGCTAGGTTCACATATGTGCGGGTGGTGCCGCTGCGGATCCGCATGAAAATCCGTGCAGGCGCACCAACCGCACAGAGGAATGCGGACACGCGCCATTAGTTCTAATGGCTCGCTGCCCACACTGGAAAACGCAACCGTACTGGGTTTTCAGAAGAAGTGCAGGGACTTCTTCCTTGCGTGTCACAAGGCACAGGAGTCCATTCAAATGAATGGGATCTCGTGCTGGCGTAAAACGCGGCCCGCATATATGTGAACTAGGGGTAAGAGTTTGCTAGTGACGTCCACCTGATGCAGCTTCCTGTGATGATGTGGCAACAATGCTGCACTGCTCCTGAACTCAGAGCAGAGTTACCACACCTGTGTAGGCTCTGTCTGCTGAACTACAGTGTGATGAAAAAAAATGTTGGAGGGTGTGGCTATCAGAAATGTTACTATTAAAATTAAAAGCCTGTAGCTGGTCAATCTGCACCTAGTCCCACCCACTGCTTTCTATATTGACAGCACTGCCTCTGTTGCTGA